CTTGATGGTATAGATGTTTAGTTACTTATTGAAGGTAATGTAGGATACAAATATGATAAATACGTTATTTTATTTTATTTGTATCCCGACCTTATTGGTGGTGAACCACAACAACAACCCTGTGAGATGGCTTGGACTGAGAGAGTGAGTGACTGGCCCAAAGTCATCCAGCTGACTCTCATGGCTAAGGCGTTACTGGAACTCACTGTCTCCTGCTTTACCCTAACCCAAACTGACCCTCCAGTTTGTTACACATATTCCCCAAAAATAGCCATGGAGAAAGGGGTTATAATTATGGAAAGCTCAACCACCTATTTTTTACAAGCTTTTAGCCCCTGTATGGTATTGTGGATATAGCTACCTCAAGGCCTATTTGATATTGCCTTAGTTGAACATTTATCAGGCTCCTACTCTGTCCTAGGCCAAGGATGTCTTGATTCAAAAACAGAAAAGCGGGGAGGGTTCTTTACACCGGTGTGACTATTTCTAAGATTAGCCTAAAAATTAGCCTGTACCTTTTTTCCTCTACCAATGAGCTCCCTGCTTATTAGACATTTGAGACTTGTTCAGTCTGTTTTCCTGGAAAACTTTGGACACATAGAGAGCAAATCCAATGACATCAGATGTTCAAAGAGCAAAACCTAAATTGCTGAAAAAGAAGGGGGGGTTTATTTGTAAAAATAATTTATTTGCTCCTTTTAAAAGACAGAACAAGCATGCTTAAAATACACTTATAAATGTCTTACTAGTTATATTATAATTAGCATTTTAAAATTCTACTCAAAATTCTCATATTCTACTTATAACATTTTTTTAAAAAAATCTACAATACACAGTCTACAATACACAGTGCTTTCTAGCCACAAAAATATGTTCACAAATAACATGCTTTCAGTTACATTTCCATGGAATATAAAACTCTCTCAGAAATAACTTTTTTTTTTTTTCAAAACAAATCTCTAAGCCTAACCCCACCTTACACAAGTATATGTAGAGCAATTGTATACATTGAAAAGGAAATTCTATATAGCATCACTTAAGAGTCTGCAGCTCTTGAGTGTCTGTTACTATTGCGATAAAGACTTTGAGAGAGCATATGTCCAAGGACAGTCAGCCTGCTTTGCGAAATGGCTATTGTATTGGTGTTGATGTTTATAAGAATCATATTACTCTAAGATGCAAATGTGCTCTAGCTTGCCTGATAAGATGATGATGATAATAACAATAATTATAATTATAATTCCTTATTAAGGACCCAATAGGTAGACAAAAATGCCAAATCCGAACATATGGCTGATTGTGCAAATAATAATATCAACAAAAGCTCTAACAGAAATTAACACTACTATGACATACAATGCTATTTTTCTTACCTGTTTGCAAGGAAGAAAATTACTTGTCAACAAATATTTTAAGTATTTAGCATAATTCTCTTTATAATCTCTACAACATATCTGTAAGGTGGATCAGTATCATAACATTGGTACAATATGGGTGGAGACATAATCAAACTTCTTTGGCTATTGCCACATTATCCAATACATTAATGGATGAATGCCTTGAATCAAGGATTTCTCAACCCACCCTTTCACATATGGCATGAACGAGTTCCCTCTTACACAGACATGAAATTTCACATTACACCCACATCAGATTTTTAAAGACAACTGGATTTCATTCCAATCAAATTACTAGTAGTTATGTATTTAACAAATGTTAAAATAACAGGTGTTCTAGTATATGCATTACAGATCTTGTCTGATAAGTCACTCACTCTCAGCCCAAGCTATCTCACAGAATTATTATATGGGGTAATAGGAGATAGGAGAATTAAAAATGTTCACTGCTTTAAATTGTATATTAAAAAGGAGATAAGGTTGGAATTGATTGGAATTGATTGAAAAATAATCAAATGATTCAAAGTACAGATTGTACAAAGAAGCAGAAGAAACAGTAGATCATAAATTCAGTTCATGCAAGAAGGTCATACAAATTGAGTGTAATGAACAAAATAAAACAGTCAAAGTGATTCACTGGAATATATGTAAAACATATGTAAAAAGTATTATGTGCGTGTAATGAGAAATTGGTGGGAACAGAAGGTTGAAAAATTGGTTAAAAATTAGAAGGTTAAAATATTGTAGGATTTCAGAATACAAACTGATAAAAGTCTTGGTTCATAATAACCAGATTTAACTGTGGTTGAAAAGAAGAAAACATTTTGGGGAAATATTAAGAACTGACTTTCATATAACTGGATGAAATATTAAGAATTGACAAGTTGCAGGAACTGGTTAGAAAGGATTTATCTTGACAGTAAAAGGCTTTACTCAAACCTATCGCAAACAAGGCCTGTAAATATGCTTCACTACCTTTAAATCAAGCTACTGATGGGCAGAGAAATTCACTTGGTTAAACCAAGAACAATCACTAAGATTATTCTAAGATCCACTAAGATCCTCGACTTACAACCACAATTGGGACTGGAAATCGTAAGTTGTTTTGCAGTCGTAAATTGAGACACCCACATTGGGCAATCGTTAAATTAATAACAACAGTTGTTAACATGGTAATTAAGTGAACAGTGTTGATTGTGAAGCAAAACCATTGTCTTGAATGGGGGGGGGGGGTTTTGCCAGAAATTGGCAAAAAGTGATGCAAATCACAGCTAGTCATCAAGGTGAGCCAATTGCCAAATGCCAAAAATGTGGTCACATGATTGTGCGGATGGGCATGTGACATTTTATGAAGGGCAGAAGTGCTTTACAAGCTGTAAAGCACCCGTTCCAAGGCTGTCATAATTCCGAATAGTCATAAAACAATGTGTCGTAAGTTAAGGACTACTTGTCTTTTTTTCTTCATTATCTTAGAGATAAAAGGAGATGAATAGTTTACTTATCCTAAGATGTCAGCTAGATAGTATTATTTATCCAACTTGATATAATATACATAGATGGTATATTATCAGAAAATCCCAGAGCTACAAGGTAGATTGGATAATGAAGAAGCCTCCTCGAGAAAATGTTGTAATGCCATCTCTATGTGATTAACAAGAAAACTACATGGACATATTCATGAAGTTATCAAGAATCACAACTAAGTTCAAAGAAAATAAGACTTTTAATGCCTGGGATAGTGTAGGAAACAATCAATATCAAGCACATTAGAAAATGCAGGTACAAGTTTCTATCTTCAAAACAAGCAATGGCAAGGACCTTCACTAATTATTTGCCATATCCGTGATTTGTCCAGTAGCCAGTGCTGAATCAGTGAGCAGTAACAAAGCACATCATGTTTCGCAGAATTTCCTATTTAGCATATTATCAATTTATTCACCCAGGTCTCCAGTATTCAGAAAACAATAACATCTTGGGAAATTATGTATCAATAACTACAAATTCTTCCACAACAAAGTAGTAACAAAAGAGAGATTCCCAGTTAGCATAAACTCTAGAGCAGAGAATTTATTCAAAATCAAGTATCTGAAAATATAACTTTTAATTTAGAAACACGTTGATTTTGAGTTTCAGGTATTAGCTACAATAAATTATTTACAATGTCAGTTAAAATATTCTTCCCCAAAATACAAAAAATGCCAGTCATGATTTTTTTTAAATAAAGCACTATGAGTTTGTCTCTACTACTGCATCTTAAAACGGTTCCATTAAAACTACAGCAATGGGAAAATATAGTAGAAAATATACTAGTGCAATCTTCATGTCTACTGTCTTCTACCAACTAAAATGCTCAGTATTCAGAGAAGCTGCCACGTGAATCTGGTCTGATCCATGCTTTAGTTTTCTTCCCAGGAAGAGGATAAGATCAAAGAAGTTCATTTTTACAATTGACAGACAACAGTGTGAGTTAATATGCAGGAATAAATATGCAGGGCCCTATGTTTGAGGCCCTAAGGATGGAAAGCTTTGGATTGCTATCAGTATTCCCAATGGTCAATATTCTCCATCCCATATGCTCTCTAATGTCTTCCTTGGCCCTTTCCATAAATGCACACTTTGAAGCCATTACTGCAGATGCATAGAAGGGAGGCAGGAGAAAAAAACTGCAAGGCAGACTAAGTCGAAATATCCAGAGTAAGGATATTTTCTGCAGCTGTAGAGTTATCATTCCTCAAAGCAGCTTCTTAAAACGTATTCCTCCAAGATATTTCAACAGCAAATCCTAATGTAAAGTCGCTTAAAATAAAAAATCACTCATACATAGTGTTAACTGACATATTGATCTGAAAAGATGGGAGATAAAATTACCATTCACCACAGAAGATGAAACAGCATCCTTCTGCCGCCACCCCCCTCCTCCAGGACCTACTGAAACATACATTTCAGGCACCACAAAAGCAGAAGACTATCAAACAGATCAAATGCAGAGAGAACATTCAGAACTGAGGTATTAGGATACAAGGATAATTTTCAAACAAAATGCAACAATTTTTTTGGTTATCTCTTTGGTATCTCAGGACCGCCACCTATGTGAACAGCGGGTGGGGTGGTGGATAATATGACCTGAAAGGCTTTGCTCATGTTGAATATGCTATTTCCATTGATATCGTGGAAGGGCAGAATAGCGTGAAAGAGAAAAAGGGAGGATTTCACCACTGGGAAGAGGAAAGGAAAGCAGTAATGTCCCCTTATTAGAGAAGTGGGTAGATCGTTTTCCTTGAAAGAATACGATCTCCTGGGGCGGGGGGAGGGGGCTTTTCTCTTTCCCTGGGCTGAGGAAGGCCTCCCTCCTTCTAAGACTGAGAGATGCCCAAGCGTGAGAAGGTGACAGCGCCTTCATCGGGGCCGACGTTCCCCAACGGGGTGCCCACCCAATACTCCCCGAGATTACGACACCAACACCCTGAGCCAACGCATCCGAAGCCCTAGCTGGCAATCTTGGGAACTGTAGTCCCATTACATCTGGACGGCACCGGCCTGGGAAAAAATGCATGGTGCTACCCGCCCGGGCCCCGCCGTGATGCTCGTCACCCGGCATCTTACCGCGATCACGTTGACGAAGGTGGTCTTGCCCGAATACTGCAGCCCCACCAGGGTCAGCTCCATTTCCTCCTTCCAGAAGAGCGCCCGGAACCAGTCCAGCAGCTTCGTGAAGAGCGCCAGCATCCTGCCTTCGACTCCCGGCCCCGATCGTTCAGCGCAGCCAGGCCCAGCGCCTTTATTCTTCCCCCGGAACGATCCGGCCTTGCCGCTACAGCCACCGGGGTCTAGCTCGCCTAGCTCCAGTCGCTCAGCAGCGCTGATGGGTGGGGTCAGTCAGCAGCTCTCCGGCCGGGGTGGAGCCGCTGATCTCGACGGTCTCTGGCGCCCAACCCAGCAGTGGCCTCTAGAGAAGCGGAGGACTCCGCGCCGACGCGAGCACCTCGATTCCTTCTGCTGAGGCCTAGGACGCAGTCGGACGTCAGATCTACTGTGCTTTGCAGTAGCTCAAGATCCGCCCGAGCCAATGGCTGAGGCAGGCTGGCGTTCGTCTGACACACGCCAGCGAGTCACGTTTCAGAGGGTTATGCGAAGCCGACCGTGTGATTAATTTATGGTTTACCGGGCGTACGGGGACCTTCGGAAATTAGGCTAATTGAATAAATCACGGTTAAATTAATGAAGGGTAAATCTGTTGTGCAAAAAAACAAAAACAGCCATTCGGGCAGCACTCGCTAAGGCTCAGAATTGTTGCATAAAAATCTATTTCTGATTCAGAAAAATGCTCCTGTTGTAACCATGGGAGTAAAAAAAAAAAAAAAACCCTTGGAAATGCCAGTTTGCCACTTGGAGCTTCATTTGTGTGCCACTTGGTAACTACAAGCTGTTGAGGAGGAAAAGAACAAGGGTTTTGAAACAGTCGTTGCTTTATTGCCGGAAAGGGAAATCCCAGCTGTCTTGGAGAAATTGCCTTACCTCTCACGGAGTCAACAGTTTGGATTCTTGTTGCCCTATCATCAACTTTCTCTTTTGCAGGAAGATGGTAGAGAAGCTAGCGGGATGGTAATTGTAAAGAACCTTGGGAAAAGCAGATTGTCTGGATACACCCACGGACACACACACATCCCGCTGTCAGGATTCAGATCTGGATCTAGATATAGCACAAATTCTGTATCCATTGCTCTCATGAATGGTATGTGGGAATTAAATCTAGGAAATGTGACCATCCTGTTCTCTAAATCTCTCAAAAGTCTTTAGTACTATACCCTCAAAGGGGCTGATGAGGTTAGAATGCTAGGCTCATGATCGGCAGCCTTGAGTTTGAGACCTGTTGCTGCCATGGGGTGGGGTGAAATCCATCACCTGCCAACCTAGTGGTTCGAAAGTGTGAAACGGAAGTTGGTGGACAGCTTCACAGGCACATAAAGGTGTCCCCAACTGGGTGTCCCCTGGGCAGTGGTGATGTCACTGATAAATCCTTTCACCACAGAAGCATTTGGATGCTTCCAACACAGAAACATTACTATGCTCTCCCATAATATCCTTATTAACGACTTACAATGGTTGAAAGATTCTACAGGTAGTCCTTGACTTGCAACCATTCATTTAGGGGTCATTACAGTGGCACTGAAAAGTGACTTATGACCAGTTCTTATACTTATGACTGTTATAGCATCTCTATGGTCATATGACCAAAATTCTAGTGCTTGGCAACTGGCATATATTTATGATAATTCCACTGTCCCATGGATTTAGTCCTATCTATTTGAAGCTATTTTCTCCATGATACAAATCAGGAGTTCTCCATGATACAAATCAAAGGAATTATTATGAAGTCTGACCTTGAAGTCTGTTGGAATATACAAGAGTAAAAATACTTCTTGGTGGAATTCCCTCTCCCTTGAAATGCAGATCAGTTCTCATCTCCACTTTAGGAAGAGACTAAACACTTATTTTTATACTCAAACAACTCCTGTTAGGATTCTAGTTTTATGATTGGTGCTTTTTGATTTTTTTTCTTGCTGTTGTTTTATTATTGTTGCTTATGGATTTTATATTTTATGGAGAACTGTATTTTTGTAATTGTCAGTTTTTATTGCTTACGGTATGTTGTCTTACAAGGTTAACTATAGAAGTCTGGTTTTACTGGGAGAAAGCAGGGTTTATATATGGTAAACAAATAAATTTGAATATATTGGACTAAGTGGTCTAAAATTCAAATATGGCTAGCATTAACTCATGAATTTTACAAGCAGTTTTGAAAAATAGGTGTGACCTGTTTGTGCAGGTGTGACAATTTGATGGTTTCAACATGTGTTAATGGCAAAGAAAGATAAATAGCAGAAGCTTCTAAATGAAGTGGAGTTAATCAGTTTAAATTTTGTGGTTCATTTGCCATCTGAAAGATTGCTTTAATCGGGTTTCATTCTCCAATACGGTAGTGTAATTGCATATCTTCTTTCAAATTATGCTTTTTCAAAAGCCTTTAATTTCTGCTTCCAGCTACAACTCTTGTTTTCTTCACTCTTGCCAATCAGTGTCAAAAGACACTTCTATTCTAAACCATGGAAAAATACATAGTACAATTTATCTTTTGAACTATTACCATGGAGTAGTTATAGAATAGAGCAGAATCCACTTTTATGGGATCTTTGTTTTTTGTTTGTAAGAAACCTTAAGACCAAATAAAGAAAAAGGTAGTTGTTTAACAGATAAAGCCAGTTGGCTTCTGCACTCCTTAAATTAAATCCTGAATGATCTGCATACTATATAAAAATACAAATCTGTATCACAGTTATCGCAAGTGAGAGGTGTTATGCTTTTAATTATAGGAGGAGCAAACAGCTATTTTGTTCCGACTGGTAAAAAATGAGATCGTTGCCTCTTCCAAATCCTTTAAAAATCTATAGGAAGGCTATAATTTAGTTTCCACCAATCTGTACTTTAGAAAATTAAACAAAATAGTATTGTCTCTCGTTAAGTATAACTGCAACCTCTCAAACACTATCGTATTTATATAATTGCCCATCTCACAAATGTGATCCTAGGGAGTCTACAATAAAACAAGTAGTTGAAAACAAGTATAAACAACCTCCAGAAGCAATTAAATATACATAAAATTGTGAGAGAATGGACTCACATCCTATACAGGTAGTCCTTACTAACCTACCACATTTAGGACTGTCAGCTCCTTTGCTTAAGTGACATGGTCAAAATGAAATGCAGTGTGGCGTGCTGACTCCCATCAGTTCTGCCTGCTATCATTAAGCAACTCACCTGCAGTTGCTGAGCACGTTACATAACTGCAACTTTGCAATTCCTGTTACCTTCCCAATTGAGTTTGCTTGTTGAAAGCCGGCTGACAAGGTTGCAAAAGGCAATTCTGTGACTGTGAGATGCTGCAAACATTATAAATGTACACCAGTTGCTAAGCGCCTAAATTGTGATCGCGTGACCCTGGGGACTCTACAACAACTTCAATTTTGAAGAGCCATCATAAATCACCATTGTAACTTTGAATAGTTACTGAATGAGGACTACCTGAATGCAATATAGCTATCTTGTAGGCTCCATGTCTCCATGCAATTGCCCAAGCAGTTGGAGAAACCTTGTTTTAAGAGGTGTCCAGAAAATTAATATGGTCAGAGCTAAGCATTTCCGGATAGCTTCCATGACAGATACGGCTCGTCCCTTAGATCCCATCAGATGGAATTTTTTAGCAGACAGGACCCATAATCTATCCTTCCTGGCAGATCTGATGGGACAGGATGATATAACAGTAGGGACGTGGTCCATCAAATGACCTGGTCCCATTTCATGTAATTTTAAAAGTCTAAAGATTCTAGCCAGATGGAAGACCAATGGTCTTTAGTGATTTTATTATATAATGACATTATCCATATAGCTATGAATAAAACTCCTGTGATATTTAAAATCTTAAGAATAAGGATTATCCTTCCACAATATTTATGCAGTAATAATGCTGGTTTAAAGAATAACGTAACCTTTCCACTAAGTCTACTGAATGGAAGACTTGTTATTTTTAAGAAATAAATCTGCCATAGAACTATGGAACCTCTAAATAGTGTAGCATTATGGCTGAAATAAAAAAGAATGTATTTGTAGAACATCTTCTTTGGATGTGACAGAAATCAGATCCACCTTCTCCATTTGCATAATCCTGTCATATCTAAGGAAACTATTCCATTTCCAGAACTCAGCTCCTAATCCTTTTCTTGCCTGAAAGAAAGAAATATAGATAATCCCCATTAAGTGTCTGTCTCAGATAGCAACTATTCCCATTTAGGATGATGATGAATGTCTGCATTTAAGATCTTTGCAGCATCTTTCTTTCTTAGTCTTGTATTTGCCAATACGATCAGTTAGTATGTATTATCCTGTGCCTGATCTGTATTTTTTGCCTCCAATCTTGAAGAATAGAGAGATTGCCTAAACAAGTGATCTCTTCCTGAGCTCATTTCTCCCTAGCAATCTATTCCTAAAAAGTATCAACCACAGGTTAACGAGCACAGTTCTGTGACCTCAATTGTTAATTAGAAGGCTTAGTAGACTTGCAACTGGTGCCTGAAATTGACAAGACTCTGATCAATTTCATAAAGATTTTGTTTGCCTCCTAAGCAGCTTGCACTTACAGCTGTGAGATGCTATACAAAAAAAAAAAAAAACCAGCAGTAGCACATTCCCTTTTTATCTATATTTCCGATTATATGCCTGCTTATTCTCTTTGCTTCCTCTGCAATAAATATAAATGTGAACATCTATTCTCTTCTTGCTAATGATCCCAGCCCTGGGGTGGAAGAGTGGGGAAAAGGGCTATGAGATTTCGCCATCTGCCTGGCTTCCTCATAGCTGAGTTGGAATCCTTCTAATACCATAAAGCTAAGTAAAAACAGAAGCCTGGTTGTGGTCACATGATTTTAAAAATCACATTACATTAAAAATTACAATTACAACAATAAAAACTAATCCAAACTAAAAAATATTAAAGAAAAAATAAAATAGGAAAGAAAAAAGACTAATAAAAGTATACTTTCCCCTTCATACAAGGTTAGTTTAAAATACAGTATGTAATATCTTCTTCCATATCCCATCTATAAACAAATTTTTAGGCTTCATCATTTCAGTACTGATATCACAAAAGTCTATTAAATAGATAACGTGTCTATTTTAACCTTGATCAAAAAACCAACTTTAAAATATTTACTTTTACTTCTAACAGTCTTGATCTTTAGTCCCTTCAGGAATTGGAATGGAGTTATTTCCTTATAATTGCATTGAACTTCAGAGAAAATATTAAATCAGCCAAGATTTAAGCATGGTAAAGGTTTTGGGAAGCTCATCCTTTGCATGCAGGTGTCTGAATGCTCCAAAGCCTAGCAAGAGCCAAGTGAAGTTTGCAACCTCCCAATAGCCAGCGGATTAGGGCAGAGGCCCAGCTCCCACCAAAGCTTGTTTGGAAGCTTCTCTGTCATTGGAACATGATGTTGGGCCCTAATTTAGGCTCTTTTTTCCTGCTGCTGTTTTTGGCTTTTTGCTACTTGCCTGCCTCCTTTATGGAGTCAGCTGGGTTGTGGGATTCCTGGGGCCTCTCCCACCCTTAAGCTACCCCATGTTTGCTTAATGACCTGCACATTCATTTAACGGACTTCAGGGAGAGCAGGGGGCAGGGGCCATTAAATGAAGCTATCTCTCTTAATGGTTGTCACAATTTGTGACCATAATCGTCAATCTCCATTACAGCTATAGATTGAGGACTACCTGTATACATACACACAAATAGCCCTACGTGCTATTGGTTCCAGGAGACCTTGTCCATTATTCTTTGAAATACAGTACTTCTAAGGGTTGATCTGGAAAATCCAGTAATCTGTAGAACTGCATTGCTCTCCTTTTAAAATGTCAAACTTCCCTTCATTTCAGAGTTTCTCTTGCTACCTACCCTGGTCTCAGCATGCAAAACCAAGGACATTAATCTGTTCTCCAGAACCAAAAAGAGGACCACACTGCTTTGTACTGACAATAAACTGTGGAGTTGAAAGTTAACCTTTTTTTAAAGTAAATTTTATTAATTATGACTTTTATTTTTATTTTTAACTTGTGTCCTGGATCAATAGGAGATTACATAGAATCAAAATGGTTGGGATTTATCATGTCCTTTGATACTGTAATTCAGTTTAAAGTGATCCCGAGTAAGAAACCATAAAATAAAAAGGAATGTAGATCAGGACTGATGACAAGATCAAAGTGCCAGCTAAAGGCTGAAGCTGATTGACTGCTTATTGCTGATACAGACTTGGAGGCTTTTCTTGTCTATGTAATATAATTAATTATTCATGGCTGTTGATGCACCTTTTTAACTATTATACTACTACTATATAATCTATTGTTGGGGCTCTTGGTCCATTTGGCCAGAAGCTCAATGATTACTATAACAGAGTATTTTAATAAAGAAAATTGGTTTCAGTTCTCCATTGCTTTGGTTCACTTTTCAGTAAACTTCTTTTTTCCACAACAATGTGGACTATTCATAGATAGTAAACAGCCTGCAACAGGAACAAAGGCAGGGCAAACATAGTTTGCATTCACAGTTCAGGTTCACAGTTTGCATGTGAAAAGGTCACAATGTATCTGTTCACACACTTAATGTGTATAAGCTATGACTATATTCATATCATGCTAAAATCAAGCAATATTCATTAAGCCTAGGGATATATATTTCAGAGAAACCTGTGAATGTTTACCCACTTATTTTTTCATCATTCTTTTCACTTGTTACTTCCCCTCAATCCATTTTTAAATGGAAGACTCTTGGGAACTATCTCCTTCTCATTTTTAATAAACTAGATGGATTATATATATGACAAATCACGTTAGAAAATATGATGCACCTTCTAGTCCTCAGAATGATGGCTTTGAGATTGCTAATGTAATTTTTCCACTCTACACAGGAGAAACGTGTTCTAAATGTGTACATGTTCACACCAAAACAATGAATTTATTGCTGTGCCAGAATTTATTACATTTTGGCTTTTTCTGAAATGCTTGTTCCAGTCTCTTCCTCCTGCTCTTCCACGTCCTTCCTCTTTCTCTCCACTGAATACTTTAACAAAGCATTTAGGTATAAATCTTAGCAACTTTATGATATATATAAATATCATCTTCTCCAAGCAGTAGGGTATATATATCCTGCTTTTATGCACAATTAGCATGAGATAACCACTGTTTGGGGTAACTGGTCATAAATTCAAAAATTAGATTAAAAATACATTTTCAAAGGCATATGAATTCTTAGTGTCAAAAATACACAGCTTCGTTTTAGGGTAAGCATCAGGAAAACCCATGCAAATGTGGTAAGAAATAATTTGTATCACAATTAACTAAGATTTCTTTTTTGATTACTCTCCAGTTCAATGAGGTTAGAGGATAATTTCCTTTTCTCGGTATTTTCTTCGTATAAAAATCATAATAAAAATAAAGAAAAGTCAGTGACTACATTTTTATGCTTTAAACTGGAATGTTAAAGATTCATGCATGCAAATTATTTATTATGTTAAGGTCACTAGCCTTGGTGGGAAAAGATTAGAAAGAATACAGCACAACTTTTTTTTTTTTAATAAACATGCTTTACTTTTTTCTACAGTAAGAGAAAACATTAAAAAAAACACAATTCAGAGGTAGAAGATTTATTCTGTATGCATAAGCACTCCAGATATGACTAGGCTTGACAATGAGTGCAAGTGGCATTATTCCCACATGATATTGCTGTGCAAATGACACAAAGTACATACAGTGCTATAATATGCGACATCTGCATAACAATATGACCTGTAATATGTTATTGTAGATTTTACCAGATACCTGAAAATATCATGGCTGGGAAAGTTGATATCCTCATTTCAGTTAATATCACCAATGATGAGCAAAGTGAATTAGCACTTTTGCTTATTTTAAGGCAACTTCCTATGCATTTTAGCCCTAACTGATTAGTTGCAGAGCATCTAACTCATACCAAACTGGGGGTGGAAAGAAATATATTACAATATGTTTTCCAATTTTATTTAAGCATATAAAATATGCTTATTTAAATATTCATCCATTTGAACATAACACTAGCAAGCCAATAAATACATTCAGATAACCTATTGTGTGTTAATGCTTACAGACTGATTGAATATTTCGCAAGTTAACTATATAGTTAAATGTGGTCACCACTGCATGGAAGACTTGCTTTCTCATTTAAAGTACCTTGTTTAAATCAGGCTGTATTTCGTGACTGAATACAAACCAATGAATTCAATTTATAGGGCTTCTTAATTCCATAGTAACTCTGGACATCATGTATTAATGAAATAATTATGAAAAATAAAATCACAAGCATCTGTGATTGACTCATTCCGAAATGGGTAAAATAAGGGCCCAGATTGTTGGGGGCAATATACTGACTTTGTAAACCGCTTAGAGAGGGCTGTAAAAGCACTATAAAGCAGTATATAAGTCTAAGTGTTGTTACTATCTGAAGAAAGGAAAACTCTTCATTTTAAATCAATAAAACCCACAGGTCCTGCAACCTAGTCTAACCCAACTGGGGAAACAGTCCGATTTTTAGGGTTTCTTTCAACTCAGGTGGGTTAAGAGCAGAGGTAGTATTCAGCAGGTTCTGACCAGTTCTGGAGAACCGGTAGTGGAAATTTTGAGTAGTTCGGAGAACCGGTAAATAATCTCTGACTGGAGATTATTTACAGTAGCCTTCCCCTGCCACATCCACCAAGCCACGCCCACAGGTAGTAAAAAAATTTGAATCCCACCACTGGGTAAGAGCCAAACAAGTCTCAGAGAAATCTTCTTCCAGAGAGCAGGTGCTGTGACCAAGAAACCATATTTCTTAATTTCATTACATGACACTCCTTAATTGACCTGGAAAATACAAGGATAACCAACAAACTGAATTGTGATCATGTGACACATCCATAATTGCCCATAATGGTGCATTTTGTACCAGTTGCAACTTCTGAGTGTTTTTCAAGGGCAGCCATATGTAGACTGCATTACTAGAGTCATATGTGAGATGATAGAGTAACTATCTGAACAACTATTTGGTTCAGGTAGGATTATAATTAGTACTCAAGATGGATTTGTGCATAGGCCTTCTTAGCCATAGCTGCTACCTGTTCCTTAAGTAGGAGATGTGAGTTTAAGAATATCTCCATATAGTTATCAGTTCTGAAGGGAAAAGTGCAAGCTTATTCATGACTCAAGATGGATCCACTGGTCTCAAGTGATCCAAAACCATAACCACTCATGATTGTCAGGATCAAGCTTGAGTCTTTTGCTACCCATCCGGAATATCCATAGCCTTCAGACACTGGGAAAAGACCTTAACAACATGACCTGGTTAGTCCAGGATTGAGATGTACAGCTGTTTGTGTGTGTGTGTGTATGTAAAACACAACAGTATTTTTAATGAACTTGAAATGAATATTATGTTTACAAAACTTACACAGGAAGTTCAAAATATAAAAAAAATGAAATTAAAACTCTACATCCAGCTAAATTCCTTTTACATAAAACAAACAACCTAACAGTTCTTGTTTGAGCTGTGTATTTCAAGTGGCTGAAATATAAATACTTTACTATCTTGCTATCAGAAAAAAGGCTCTCCAAAGCAAAGAGTCCAGATATAAACAGTTCCTCTTGCTACCACAGCATGATGGATTAGTTGTCTGTGAATTCAGAAAGCTGTGAGGCATACATAGCAAGTATATGATGGACAAACTGGTATTGTTCACTGGTTTGTATCATTCCACCTCTGCAATGCAAAGAAAATCTGTTTAAATATACAGGCACTGGGAAGAACAATACATTTGTTTTGCAATCTTATATCATTTACAATCTTTGCAGACCATAGCAGAACAGCTTACAAAGCAGGTTGAGAATTACATATACTTTGCAAAACAATTCAATTGCAAATGCCTGTTCAAGAAATTGCAAAAAATCTTGTAAAATAAAACATCTACAGATTAAATAATGAGGACTGAAACTATGACCTTTAAAACTTCTTAAATCTAGTAAAGACTTGAAATATCTGATTGTAAATGTATTAACAGCGGCTAAGATTGTATTTGCCAAAAACTGGAAAAATGAGAAAACACCATCACAGGAGGAAATCATTAAGAAAATATTGGAATGTGCTGAAATGAGTAGATTGACATTTGAAATTAGAGAACAAGAGGATAAAACAATTTTATAAAATTTGGGATCTATTCTATCAATGGTTAGACAATAAAATACAGTAATGAAATATGTAGACTTTTAGAAAATAATAAATATATAAAGATGTACTTCTTTCTTATTATATCTACAAAATGATTTTAGGATAGATTTGGGATGATAATATGAACTGTTATAAAACAAACTAAGTAAATCATGATTATCTTGTAAAACATGAATGAATAAAAGTATAGTCAAATGATTAATAATGATACTAAGGTATTTAATTTTTGATTGAAAATACGAGATTATATGCAATGTAATTGTAATTGAAGACTATGAAATGGAAGCACAAAACAATTTGTAAACCAACTGGCACACTGTATGTACATATATGGAAGATGGTTTGATGTTTTTATGTTTTGTTTGTTTATGTTTGTTTTTAAAAACCAATAAAAACTTTAAAAAAAACTTCTTAAATCAAACTAAAATAGCATTATTAAACACTGGGAAGAATCATTCAATTAATTACTGAGAATTTTTATCAGGTCAAAAACATCTTTCACTCGAAGCGTATTAATATGACTATGAGTGGCACTTAAATATAAAGGTAGCTTTTAATAATCCCTGGAAGAGCAAACTGAAGAGTTGACACGATCCATTTATATTATATATAAGGCATCAGGAACTATCTTAAAAAATCTTACCTGATAGACAATATTCTCTGTATTGCTTGTAAAGTAATATTGTTCCAGGCTATTTGTAATGCTGTTTATAGAGGTTACAGTTTTTCTGTTGCTTTTTTGCATGTACTTTATTCATATCATAGACAACATTTACTTAGATACTGAAGTCGATAAAATAACACAAACCCTTGGATGTCTGGCTGTGCTCTTAACTTATAGACATGTCCCAGTGTAGAACTAAAGAGTGCACTGCAGGATCCAATCTGGGCCGGTCACCAGAACCAGAGGTTTTGTCTTCCGAGCTTTCTAACTTGTGCTAGAGCCCATCTTCAAGGAATCTTTCTTCCTTAAAGATGAGCTCTAACACGAGTCCGAAAGCTTGGAAGACAAAACCTCTGGTCCTGGTGACCGGCCCAGATTGGATCCTGCAACATAATCCTGAGACATGTATATTCACCTTCATTCATAAAGAGTGCATTTTTTAATATATTTGATATATAAAGATTTGCATACATTTCTTGGCACTGTATTTTGCTCCATGATGTCCTGGAGCGCCGTACAAATAGCACTAATAATGTATGTCACAGTGTCATACATGCTTGTGTTGCATTCAGAGGTATAACATTTTACCATAAGTTTACATTGAAATAATTTTAATGGGGCTTGGTAGTTAAAAGTGGAGACTAAATCTAATGTAACAATACAGAAATAAGTTTATTACTGGGTATAGTTAGTTTGGCACCTTTGTGTATGCGGTGAGAATACAGAATGAGACAAATACAGATCTTAAAATGAGGTATGCAAAGTGGGTCTGATTTGTTTAGGGATCAAACTTACTTATTTCTATGTATCTACTGAAAAGATGCCATTGGCTGTACCAAATCATGAACCCTATTATGTCTCCTACAAACATGCCTGGGATACAGTACATCCCTCACCATCAACTGCCTTGTTACCAAAGCATTAATGACTACTGTGATTTTCCTTGAATACTGAATGAGCTAATTTAATTACTTTCATATCAAATTATCAGCATTTAGGAAACTACGTTTATCAAGATGCTTCCGGACACCTTCAAAGTATGTACTATAGCATGAAGTAGAAGTTTCAGTACATTTAACTTGACGTACAAAGCAAAAAGGTAAGCTAACTAGAGACCACTTCAGTTTTTCATGAATTGAAATGAAATGAAAAACTCAGAACTTGACCTCTATACCGGTCTTCATCCATACCTGTCTATGCGTAGCTGGCAGACAATTCCCAAAATATCTACTTCTCCTTTGTCCTTTAGTTGCTGGCATCCAATCTGAGTAGCAATGAAGCAGCCTGTCCGTCCAATGCCCGCACTAAATAGAACAACAACTTCATGTCAGATTGCATCTTTGGGGATATGAAGGACAAAGGTGTAGAAATATATCTGCCCATCCCCTTCTAATCAAGTAGGTTTGCTAAATTCCATCTCACTGAAACCAAGACGCTTCTGGGAAAAACAGTTTGCCAGTTTCACCACTGCCTATAATATAGAGACTATATGTACAGAATTTTACAGAGGGAAGTATTTGCTAGATCTGTAGTGCATCATTTTAGAATGGAGATTTCAAATATAAGTTCAAAACCAGCAGCTCTGAGCATCCTCCAACACTATGGAGCTACAAGAAGAATTTCTCACCTACAGTGCACAACAATTGGTCCCTTGTTTTGGGAAGCCTTTAGAATTTTCTCCACCTCAAGAATCAAATGCAAGAGCATCTTGGCTGATTCTGGTGTCCTCTGGTCTGGCCAGGATGAGAAGACAATGTGTTTCACAGTGCGACATTCATCTTTGAACTGAAAATCATAATGAAATACAAGATAGCATTACTTTTACTCTTTCAAGTATTCACATATATGTGACTGCATCTATCCAAGAGAGAAAGTATCCAGGTGTTTATTGGAATTCCAAAACTTACAGCTATACAGACATCTTTAAGGAGACAAAAGTCCTGAGGGAAAAACACCTCCCGTCCTCACAATAGCCTCATGACAACTAAGTGAGACAATGGAATTCTCAATGAAATGGTCATTGATAATTATAGATAGAAGGGAAATTAAATGGGAAATTAAATGAAAGGGAATACTCTGTCTACAAGTAGAAAATAAAACAGAAATAATCCAGATTGCAAACTTTTGTGCCAGGTCCACTCATATACACTAATAAGTATCAGAAAGGAATTTCTTATACAGCCAAAATGGTATATATGGTGTGTGTGTGTGTTCACTTATACATGTACACATTTTGACAATACTTGCATAGAGATTTGGAGGGAAGGGTGAACTGTGAAGAAAAATCATCTTGCCAGAGCACTTGTCTTCATCAATAAAAAAGTGTATACCTGCAGGGAAAGGCTACGAATGGTGTAGTCATCACATTCCCAAATGTCTTGGACTTGAATTCTAAATGGTCCATAGGATGCTTCTCTTTCAGGCCAGTAACAGATACATTTCTGAAATTATAAAGGTAGGGATCCTCATCCATAAAGATGTCAACCAAGCGGCTGACTCTAAATCCCCAAAGAAAAGAGGAAATCAGAACTAACATTCACAGACCTATTCCCCCATAGCAAATGGGCTGCAGGAGTTCTACAAAGCAAACAATAGCAAGCTCGCTGAGGCTCAGAACCCCCACGTGTGAGTTTTTAATGTATTTTCTAAAGCTTCCTTATAGAAAGAAAAGGCTTAGGAAAATCTTAAAGAGTTAAAAAAAATACACTTGAGATGTAGCTATTAATATTCCCTTGCCACACATTTGTATTTATTAGGTCTGCAGAGATTTGTGCTGGCTAACAAAGCTTCCAGAAATAATAAGTCCACACTCTCTGCACATTTGCCAGATGATAAACTCCTTTCTTGCTTTTTTTATTTCTAAACAGGGCCCTTGTTTAGCAATAAGTTAAGCAATAAGCAATAGGTTTAACAATAAGCAACCTTCCTGCACATCAGTAGGTGATACCAAAACTTCCCAAAGTCTCACCCAACACCTTTCAAAACTTCATGCAGAGGTACCAGTATCATCCATCTGCCAAGGAGAAACCACCATAAAATGCCCAGAGTGCTTTGTAGCAGTTCTATCTAGAAGTCATTAATTGAAAACTAAGAAAAAGCAAAGCACCAGCAACTGGTAAATAAATAATAAAAGCAGCTTCAAAATATGACCAAAAATATGACCTTGAAATGGCAGCTTATCTGTGAGGGTTTGAAAAGAGTGGAGCTTTAGAGCGGCAGAAGGACTGCTTTATAAATTCATAGACCAGGAGACATTTAGTGCAGCAAATTTCAGGATCTCTGAGTTAAAAGACAGTGCATAAGCATTTCATCCAATGCTTTTAAATCCGTAAAGATAGCCTCATTACTCCATAATCCAGAATGTCACAAATCTTGAAACTGAAAACTTGCAGAAAATATAATAGCATGATGTGTTCCTCTAGAAGAGCCATAGTATGTCACAATACTACTATGGCTATAAGTGGCTATCCTTTATTAGGTTTCTGAATATTTTGCCAACTTACATATGACTATGTACAGATGTTATACTATAGCAATGGCACTGATCTCCTCTGCCAAAGGACACAGAACCCAGGATAAACACAGGGAACTTTGACACTTCTCATTAATCAAAATTTATATACATCTCTAACCATAATACCTCTTTCCTTTCTTTGAGTTTGGTGAGCATAACTATGAGTGGAGTTTCTTCTTGCCACACCATTGTCCAGAAGTCATTGACTGTATTTAGCATGGGTCCCTGTGTGGCAATATAGGTCTTCTTCTGGCTAGCATAACCCTAGACAATGGGAGAGAAATAACAACTATGAACAAGAGACACTGGAGCTAGTATCTTTATTATTCTCACCTCTAGATAATTCTCTGGCTCACCCGGATGTAATTTGCATTTATGTAAGACTCCTCTTCTTGGCTGTTGACTCTCTTGAGACAGACACGGCTCTGGGGATCTAGAGGAATATTTTAGTTAGGTGAGATAGCTAAGGGCTTAATATAGCATTTACTGTCAGTTGGGCCAAACCATTCCACAGAAAAGTGGTTTTGAAATCTTTCTGGTTTCCTGTCAGTTTGGTTTGGGGCCGTTATTTCACCCACTTTTCATTATAAATATAGATTAATATAAATATAATATCAAAATGGGAGTATAAAAGGGATTTCAAAACCCTATATTTTAAAACAAGGATGACAAAAATAAAAAGTCCAGTAGTTAAATGCCTGGCTGAACCAATAGTTTTTTTCCCTGATGCCTTGAGTTTCTATAGTTCTCCTCAGAAGTAAAAAAAAAAAAATATTTTATTTCTCCTAAACCTGGAGGAATATGCATCCCCCAACAAAGTGGCCCAACTGGAAATTTTATTTGTCTTCTTTCACTTTAAATTATATTATCCTTTACAGTCTTGGGCAAGAATGTTAGCATCAGCAAGAAATTATGTGTAGGAATGTTTGCATTTTATCACATCACAGCTTTAAAAGCAGCCTTCCCCAACCATCCAGATAACTTGGACTTTTCTTCACATAATTTCCACCCAGCCAAGCCTGGAGATAATGGGAACAGAAGTTAAAAATGTCTGGAGTGGATTGGCTTTTCTACAACTTACAATAGTTTCAGCATTCAGTGTTTCTCAGGGCAGTAAATATTTTTTTATTCCCTGTAACTGAAAGGAAAGAAGCTATACCATGGTCAAAAATAGCACACAAGCCTCAAAAATATTCAAATATGAAAGATATTGCTTTATTACCTATGTTTGAATTTTTACCATTCTACTGAAGAATTCAAGGCATTCTTTTCTTTCCTTTTTTTTCATTAAGATATCCCACTAAAGAGAAATTGTGCTTCCAATTTCCACTGAAATGTTTATTGCACAATCATTCTGTCTTATTCATGGAATTCTATTGGACTCCTTCAATATATTGTCTTCTGTTACTTAGAACCTTTCCATATTTCCCCATCATTTCTTGATATTTCATACCCAAGGAATGGATGATTCATTTAACTGGTAGCCCTAGGAGTCCTCCATCCAGAAGTAACCTTTGTAACTATTTCATTTTCTACAGTGATGTTCCATGTGTGGCAAGTTTCTCCAGTTCAGTACTCTACATTCAATTTATCCAACTGAGCATTCTCCAGAACTGTTTGGACTAACATTCCAGACTTCCTATCCAGTATGATATATTGACCTCCTCAGAGAGCCCCTCAAACGCCTATCCAGCTGAAGATATGCTTTTTGTCGTTTTATTCAGTGGACTGAAAACTATTTCTGAAATCTAAAATAGGAATTTTATCACCAGGTATAGAAACACTGGCTGACAGCTATGTTCCCTGCTGATATTAATGACAGCTTCAGACTCTGAGCCATGTATCCTCAAGAGACTTGACAGGAGATCCTATTGAAAACAGGGATCTGCCAGTGTTGCAGAAATGCTCTGCAGTACGCTACATGCTTTGCAGTATGTTACGCAATATAAAATCTGGAGCCAAAACTCAGCAGATTTTGTTTTCCTTTCCCAATCCCAGTTTCTTCCTGTTCAAATATGATTGCAAAGTAAACATACTTGGTAGGATGGATTTGTATCTATCCTTTGCTGCCCGACCAGGAATGTTGAGTTCTTCTGGAGTGATGAAGTTTGAGGGAATTTTCTGTTAAGGAGCAATTGCTGAATTAATTTCCTTTTTGAATGGTAACCAGAGAGTTGGAAACAATATTATTGGTGCCTTTGATCTTCTCAAGTAGGCAATTTCCCACACCCACCTTCCCACAAGGAGAACTCAGCAGAAAGGAGGTGGGGAAAAATGTATAACTCAGAATTACTGCTCTGCTCAGATGCTGCTATCTAAGACCCATGACCAACTGGATCCTATACTAATTCAGCCTCAGTCTAAATCAAGACAGTGATATTCAAAGTCAAACTTGGCATCTGAATGGCATGCCAGAGTTCCACTGGAAAAAAATAGGCAGGCACCAAGACATCTGCTCAGATTCTCAGCCCAGATAGCAATTTGTACTGTGTACTTTAAGCAGCTGATTCTCCTCTGTGATTTTTATATTCTCCTTTTTATATCCACTGCAGTTCAATCCAGTATTTCCTTTTCCTAAGTGGTAATTGCTTTTTTAATAGAATCAACATTCCTGCCCTGGGAAACTATCTGTCCTACATGCATTACTTGATGTACAAACCACATTTGGAGAGCCCAGCAGAGCATAACTGCTTAGTGTGTGAGAGAGAATGACAAAAGCAGATTGCACCATTATGCTGTAAGTCCTGCCCCTTTTGCATGCGCATCAGGACTGCACACATACTCTAAAGGTGCTTTATTTTGACAAAAACAGGACACTTCTGAAGGTGCCTAAGAGAGATCTCATACCTCTCTAGCAGCTCTCTCTAGCCTAGGAAAAAGGCTATTTGCTCCTGCCACTCATACTGAAAATGGCATAGGGCGAGCAGGAAGGAATTGAGGTACTAGAGGAGCTTAAACTGGAATCAAATCAGGAAGTTGGTAGGCAGTTTTGAGAATCTTACCGCAAACTCCTTTTGAAGCTCTTCCAGATTGCAGCTCCATTCCTGGAGCATCTTCTGTGTTAGGACATGACTGGCAGTGTTCAAAAATTGCACTGTGACATCTCTTGGAGTGGAGATTTGCACAATGGGTTCAGTGTTGCTCAGAGAACTCATGTCCAATACCAATGACACATTGGAGCCCCTTCTGCAAGACAAAGAAGCCTGAAGTTACAAACCATCAAACTAGAGAAAGCAGCCTATGCTATAGCAGCAGAGTTCCTTTGCTGACAAAATGAGGTTGCTGTGTTAATTTGGCCTGAATTAATAATCAGCCCTATACTTTCCTCCTAAGCCAGGAAGTATGAGAACCACTGCCCTTACCATGACTCAGCAATGGGGCAGGTTAGAGTTACTGCCTGCATACACTGGAATGACGGGTAGTTTCAGAGCAACAGTTGGCAGAAACCCTGCCATCTTTTCCCTTCCCATCCTACATTACCTATCGTTTGGAAAACAAACTCCAGTTGCCACCACAGGACTTCTGGCTGGCCTCAGTGCTTTACCAGAAGAGCGACTACAAGCCTTTCTGCAGAAATATGTATGTATGTGTGTGTATGTGTATTTGCATCAAGCTTCTGATTTGCATGATGTGTGGTGCTCAACAATTCAAACTTCAATGGCTTCATCCTGGCCTGATTATTGAAAATTATGCAATGGCTTCACTATTGCCCACTTTATGTTTGTGCAGTAACTAAATGAATTGTCTGACTTTCAGATGAATTATTTGCAGAAAGTGTGTGTTGGAACACATCTTCTGGTCTTTCTGTTCCAATTCTGGGAGATGCAACTGACTTAAGGCATCTTAAGATGTCTTTGATTCCTTTGATTTCTCTTATCTTGTTGAATCTCCACTACATAAGACTCTCTCTTCTGAACAACAAAACTTGGAACCTAACTCATTCATCTACCCTCAGAGATGAGAGAGAAATTCTACCTTTGTCATACTGCTGTGTTAGTAATGTTGCAATGACCCTAAGCAAGAATACCGTTCCTTTGGAATCTCAGGAGGGGGGACAGAGATTCTCGGCAACCTTGGAGAAGCAAAAGCAATCCCCATCATTTCCCCAAGTGAAATAATGCAATGTGTGTATCAGTACCATTTAGGAGAGCTTTTGGGTGGGGGGATATTATTTTTACTGTCTAAATTATTTTTAATTCTGGCCCATTGGACTGGAATAAGTAGGACTAGAATGATGTCCTCAATGCCCCATTTGTGTGTAAATTCCTTGCTTGATTTGCAAAAGAGGCATGGTCACAAGCAAAGTCAATTCCATGTCATGCAAATGAAGAGTTTACCTTGGCAATAATTCTAGCAGAGAATGAATCCTCCCAGTCTAATATTTCTGGGTCCTGGTTATTTTTTGTGGTTTTTAAATAATAATAATAATCCACTATAAATGAATCTTATCTCAAAGATCTCTAGCAACTTCAAGGTAATTCAGAATTTCAAGCAAAAGCGTAGATTCTGTTGCAATGTTAGGCTGGAGGAGCTGATATTGTGGAATCTTATTAACAGCTCAATCCACTTCTTCAAGCCTGGACAATAGGTAACAGATTAAACATCTGCTTTTGATGTGCCAGATGATGACATGGTATGTAGTTCTGATTTAATATATGCTCCATCACCCACTACATGGTCACCAAAAGTTGTTTCCTTGATATCAGCCTTGGCACTGATTTTGCTATTTGTTGATGAATATCTATATACTACTAACTCTCTCGTGTCTGTTTGATTGTTTGTAATCTTTAGTTGGGCAAACAGTGCATCATAAAATAACAATTTTTGAATCAATGTAGCTCGAATGAGTTAATTTAAGAATGCATCCCAAAACTATGACTGCCATGGGATTGAAATTTGGCAGTGTTTTGACCATTTTAGTGCTGCTGCACTGTTACTTTGCCATACTCAGCCACAATCATACGATTGCCATTTTCAGTGCTCCCTGGCAGCTTGTAACAAGGAAAGTCAGAAGTAAGCTGCTTTTTTGCTCCCCTTTCTCTGTTTTTGGTAGGCAATTATCTCTGAAATGATGATCCAACAGGTCATAGGTTTTCTAACTACAATTACCCTGCAATTACCCTAACCTGCAGCATTATACTAACATGCAATGGTTCGATTTATTTAGCACATCTGATATTCTGAATATAATGACTCCATAAACAATATGTGTATATATTTTTTTCTGCTGACTGGGTCTTGCTTTACTGCTCACACTTTTGCAAAATGATTTTTGCCAGAATATCTCTAACGTACTTTGCTAAGAATTTCTTGGGGCACAAACTGTTTCCCAATATTTGCATGTAAACTGTCACTTTTACTGGGTATCTATTGGCTGTTGAATTAGCTAGAACATCTGCAAATTTCTGCAGCCTAGAAACTCCCCTAAGGTGTCTGCTCCAAAGCTATGCTAACTTGCGAAATATGTCTCACGCTCCTGGAGGCCATCAATATTTCCAGGGTTATGTCATGTTCTCTCAACAATTTTTCTTCCAGGGTGATTGAATATATAAAGGACACTCAATCCTGTCCTTTGTAAGTGATTCAGAGAGTTCTACAAATCCACATGCTTAATTTTTTTAACTTCATAACGTTGTTTAATATGCAAACAAGATGACGTTCTCCTATATTCTTTGAGCTGTAGTTAAAAAGGGTGGTGGGGAGCATGTATTTCCAATTAATGTTCCTCATGGAAGCAAAATATGCAACAAACATTTCTATTTTGACTTGAAAGTTTATATATTTGCCTCCAGTGTGTAAATGGAAACACGTTTTAAAGCTTCTGTCCCTCTCTGCTGGCAAAACTGCAAGAACACAGAAGCTATTGCTCAGATCTGCTAGTAATTGGATGTATCTAAAGCCTAAATTGGATGTATCTAAAGCCTAAAGTCATTTGTGCAAATTCTCTGCAATAATTCCTGCTATTGGTAGAACAGTGGGGCTCAGAGATGAGGCCAGTGATAATTCTCTTGTTATGAGATGTATTAAACTGCTGGCTCACCTTAAAGGCAAAGTCATTTGGTCTTTGATTTGTATCTAAGTGGGAAGACCAACTTCTGGAAGACCTGAAATCAATCTTCCAGAAAGTCAGTATTCTACAATATGTCAGAACAACCTCGGTCAGTGACAGTCAAGTATCTGGTGCATGATACAAAAATGGCCAAAAAGACTCAGGAGTTCACTAACTGGACAGTAGCAGGGAGACTTGCAATAACCAAGTGTAGTCTAGTAAATCATTAACCTCCAAAGGTTTCTTCCTCATTTAAATCTAGAATGTCTGCACGGAAGGTCCTATATTAGCATATGATGGAAAAAATTAGTTTAAACAAAAACATTTTCTGAACACTGAAAGAGTGGAGGCTAAATGCACCACCATGAGGAGGGCAATGCACAGCTAGGAGCCATGAAAGAAAATGTCTTCTCCAATCTATCAGACAGACCTTGTGGCAGCAGAAGCAATTTGAAAAGAGCTCTGCTGCTGATTGAAAAACTAGCACTGTTCATCATGACAGATCCTAAGGTGATTAGTATTTTAATTGTCAACACCAACTTAAAATATATCCAGATTTTTCAGTATACAGGCATCATATAATTCCCATAGTCAAAAATACAATAGTACGTTTTGCACCAGCTGCAATTTCTGCACAATTTTCCAGGGAGCCATCTGTAGAAAGTGTTGATGTATTTAAGTAAGCAAGGCATAGATAACTGCTAACAGATCTGCTCAGGAATTTTATTTTATTTTGTATTTACCGGTATTTATTTATTTTTTTTCCTATTTCCTTTATTATGTTTTATAAGAAACTCAAGGTGGTGAACATACATGATACATAATTCCTTCCTTCTTCTATTTTCCACATGCCAACAGGCCTGTGAAATGAATTGGGCTAAGAAAGAGTGAACTCAACTGGCTTTCCTAAGGTGGGGCTAGAACTCACAGTCTCCTGGTTTTTACTCCAGCACCTTAATCACTACATGAAACTGGCTTAGTACCACATCAGTCACAGTTGTGCTAATGCGCTCTGAACCACAAATACGGTAATAGTAGGGCAGTCAAAGAAAACTCTTATACCCTGAATCTGCTGTGTCTGAAGAGTACAATCTTACCCAGAATAGGCTTCACTTCAGTTCACCAAACAATGTTCTTTTTACCAATAGCTTCTCACTTCTAGCATATCTGGATGTAATTTTAGCTTCTACTCACTCATTCAACCTAATAATAATATTAGTTAGCCTTTAAAGATTATAGTTGCTTCCTTGCAATTGGTGGGGGAAGTAGGCCTGGGTGTTATCAGCACCTAGATATTCATGCTTTCGTTTAATTATCTCCTTCAGAATGATTAGCTACCCTACCTAATCAGATGGGTTGCCAGAAATGAAGTTTTAACCACTGCCTTTATGAATGATCAACAATATTTCATCTAATATTTAATGGAAGATTGACATTGACTTCTCTGGGAAGAAGAGAAGCTAAATCGCTCATAGCATTGAAGCAATACGTAAATATGCAGTAGTATGTAGTCAAAGTCCTGGTCCTCAGGACTTTGACTACAGAAGTATTAGGACTTTAGACCTGAAGAACCCATGTTAAGCCATTTTATGCCAATACAGTGATAGATTAAAATAAAGCAAAACAAAAACCTCTTCCTCACCACAAACAGAAGTACATACTGTTGGATGCCATTTGGTCTTGATTAAACTGCTCATGGAAACCATGGTTTTAATACACTAATTTACATTCATGTGTATGTAGCCACTCCAGTTTTAAGGCTTAGTAGCGTGTATGAAACTAGCTAATGGAGATCTATTCAATGAACCATAGTGAAGCATATGGTTTGTAGCATAACTTTGTGCATTGTGAATGAACTCTTTAACAGCCTTCTTCCCTAAAGGTTCAGATAGTTCTTGACTTTATAAGTATAATTGAGCCCACAATTTTGGTCGTAGGTCGTGGCAATTGTCACCATTTGACTAGATTGAATACATGACCTTTTTTGCTGCAGATATTATGTGAGCACTGTGGTTGTAAAGTGAACACTACAGTTGTTAAGCAAACCCGTTGTTACTATAGGGCCGGTTTTGATGGAAACTAAAAGTAAATGTCAGTTTCCCTCAAACATATCATAAATCAATGCAGGCTAGTTGCTAAGTGCCCAAAATATAATAATGGAACTATGATGGGGAAAAGTGAAGTAAGTCCCATTTTCAGCATCCATTGTAACTGGTCATAAATTGAGGACTATCATTTTAATCTATTTAATCAGCATTCCCAGTTTTATGCTCTTTATTACAATTGCCATGATTCCCAGCTATTATATCCAGATTCAGCAAAACTATGAGTGTGTCAGAGAACATAATATTATCTAACAGAACCAGCTTAACACTTAACTAATATCTAGAATCTCAGAGTCTATGCATAGAAGTTGGAGTACTACTGACTCACCGATCTTGCAGGCGCACATGTTTCTTAACTTCCTGATTGCTGTGGGTAGCCTTATCCATTCTTAGCCTCGTTTGCTTCTGCAGAATGCAGAAACTATGATTTCTCAGACATGCTGAACAGGCCAGGCCTGGGCTCTGCTAGCAAGGATTTGTTGAACTTAGGTAAGAGAGGCCAGGAAGCACAGAAAGAATGCAGCTCAGTGAACCCATGTCCCCAGGAAAGCACCTAGAAAACATTCAAGCAAATTGATCATTACTAAGAACTTCACTGTCTTTCTATCATGCATAAACCCCAGGTACAGCAAGCCCCATTTAAATCAGACACATCATAGCCTTGTACAGAAGAAGCCACTTAGCTTGGTGTTCTTGAAAATGGTTGAAAAAGCCAAAGGAGAGAAAAATATGCAATTTGGTCCAACAAGTTTGTTTGGGAGAAACCAAAAGCTCACTGAATAAAATGGATACTCCTTGTTTGAGGCTATTGAGGCTATTGTTTGAAGCTAGTGAACAGAAGAGACTCTTCCCTTAATTCTTTACTCCAGATATATGAGGGCTGGGAGAATACTACGCATTGTTCTTTGTCCCATATTTTGCAGCTTTGTTCCCCATCTTCATATTCCCAAGAAATGGTTCCCTTAAACTGATATTTTCTGCCCTTTCCCATAAATTAATTCCTCTCTCACCTCATGCTGCCAGTAACTTCATCATCTCTAAGGTTTTAAACAGAGTCTGTGGCTCTAGGAGATGTACATGCAGAGTGAAAAGAAAGTGAATACAGGAAATTCCTTATCTCTGAGGCTGGTGGTTGCTCTTTGACACTTCCTCCTCTTGCTCCACCCTTACAGCCACCCACACACATTCTGGCCACAACTTCACAGTTCCTTCCACAGATACCTTCAGCTTCTTGATGAACTTTTGCAAGGCTGCCTGGACACTTAGATCCACCCCCCCACCTGTTCTTGCTTTAGGATTATCTGATATCTCTGTAATTTTTTACAACCAAAAATGTAGTAATTCACTTTGTATTCTTATTTCAGCCTAGAATGTAATGCCACTCTATTGACAAAAATACAAATCCCTGACTATAAGCTATTGAGCTTTATGATATAATAGGAAGCAGCATTTTTAGCGTGTGTGATTTCATAATCATACAATTCTTGTGAAGTCTGCAGTAATAGCTCCCCTCTGAAATCCTCCCCTTACCCTCCATGATAGGCTTAATTCCCTGGAGATTTATATTTGCTGGAGCAATTTTAAAATCATGGCATTTTTGAGTATAAAAATGTTCTGCGTGTATTTCAACTGGTTATTGAACAGATCTACAAAATGCCATATTGGAGAAGGTTGAGCTAGATAACCTAAAACGCAAAGGAAGTCCTTGTACAGTATTACGCAGTAATGCAATTGGGCAACAGCGTTTCAGTTGAAAAATACCACAATGCACATCTGTTGCAGATGATTATAAGGAAGCCTCTTTCTACTGTAAGCAATGAAGCATAGGCATTTCAACAAGCGATAGCTCTTTAAAAAGGACATTGGTAAAAAATACTCAGCTGACAAATGTGCTGGAAAATATATCAAACAATATGTTTTTTAAAAAGAGGATTGTATAACATTTTGGGGAATCTTTCCTGCCATTGCAACCCATTTTGAATATATAGTAAAAGTTAAAAAATCTTCAAATTAAGTTAACAAAAGATTCTGGGAAAATCTCCTACGTATATTTAAGTGGCTAGGAATAGAGTCTGAAAACAAAAACATCACAATAATTGAAAACAGTTTTATGCTGGATACCCATGAAGTTAATTGTGAACTACAGGCATTATAATTCTAGAATTCAAAGAGTGCCAAGTGACAGGTGAGGATTTGAAGGACTGGGCAATGGGCATCAAAAAGCAGCGGCTGGGGCAACAAAATAATCAATTCATACTATCCAAAGACTCTCTTAAAATATCAGGTCCTTTGCTTGTAAAGAAAAATATGGTGATCTTTTGCTCTTTAACCTTGATTACTGTATGCTGATCATCTGTGGCAATTTTGACAGAAAGAGTAATATTAGCTATGCCTGGTAAATTTTCTGTTGATGGACAATTTCAAGAGCTTCCATTGAGAATTGTTATCTTCACCCAGAAACTGACAGCCATTCAAAGAGACAATGGCTTCAAAGCGAGGACTATATTCCCAACAATTTTCATATAGAAGATTAATTTCTGTAAAATGAAATTTTATGCAGCTACCTTGACTGCAACTTTAACAATACAGAAAATCTCAAAAAGAAATAGGTGAATATTGGAAAACCCTTCCTTAACTGTGACTTGAGGAAAAAGGGGAACACTTTTTGTTTTGTAAATTTAAAATATGAAAAGACTACTCCATTTTTTAAATTTTATTTTATTCTGTCCATATTATGGACCATAGATCAGTGGTGGGATTCAATTTTTTTTACTACAGGTTTTGTGGGTGGGGCTTGATGGGCGTGGCAGGGGAAGGATACTGTAAGATCTCCAGTCAGAGGTGGTATTTGCCGGTTCTCCGAACTACTCAAAATTTCTGCTACTGGTTCTCCAGAACTGGTCAGAACCTGTTGAATACAACCTCTGCCATAGATGTTTAAATCTGAATAATATATATAGAAGACAGAAGCTACAGAAGCCTGATGATGGCAGATGAGATTTGGTAGAATCTCATCTGCCACCATCGTCTGATGAACACAATACAAAAGTCTGATGATGGCAGATGAGATTCTGCCAAAACATTGCTACAACTTTCATATATATATATATATATATATATATATATATGAAAACTGCTGTGCAATGATGAACCATCATACACTGGACTAAGGGCAATTTTGCATCGCAATCGAAGCTGCATGAACAGATTGATTTAATAATGTTTTTTCCCTGCAAATGAAATTGTATTGTTTGGATTAAAGTGTGAGAAGAATAAGGAGCATTATTTTTCACCAAAGTGATGATTCATGAAAAAAGTGATGATTCATGAAAACTAAAAATAAGCTCTTGAAAAACCTCTTATTTCTTTTGGGAATGCTGCATGGAGCATAAACCAGCACTTTAACATTGTGGGAACCTGCTCTCTAATCTCTTATAATTTTTACTTTTAAGAAATAGCTGAGCATTTCTTATATTACTTAATGCATGAAACTTTGACTTCCTAATTATCTTAATATTAAACAAATGAGTCACATTTAAACTGCCTGCAGGTTGGATTTGAAAAGAGCTTTCTTCTAAAAATTCAAATGCTGCAAGATAGAAATTGATTGGTTCACAATGTTTGTGCAGCATTAACCAACAGTGCAATAATCAAATACATTGCGCACACACATTTATAAACTCAGATTGTTTCTAAGGGATGGAGGGAAAGAAAAACCTAACTTACCTTTGAGTTTGGATTATAATTACCAGTAACAGGAAGTAAAATTTGTATTATGGTTGAAAAAGACAGAAAGAGCTAAGGAGACGGAAAAGGAAGTGGCTGAAAAATGTTTGTTTTGTCTGCTGCTAGGCTTTGCAAGCTCTTTGAGAAAGAAAATCTTTGCAAGACCTGTCTTGGGACTCTTAATGTTCCTGAGATCATTTTTGAGTTTGTTCAACAGAACAGAAGCTCTTTATTTCAGCTTGCTTTAAAAAGAAAAATAAAGGGAATGAATTTCAGAATAGGAACTGCCCAGATGTGGATTGCTTAGTGTGAATGTATGGAATCAAACCAGAAGATGGAAGTCAAATGCATTATTGGATCATTTATGCTCATTTGCACAGAATCCAACTGCACAAAAGAGAAAATATATCTATTTACCAGGACCAGAAAATAGACATTTAGAGATGGAGTGGGGAGATCAATGTAGAAGAAGTCTGCCAAACCACAAAATGGATAGTTGTAACTTATACCTCAATATTTTCCTAGAAGAAAAGGGGTTTCCTTGGAAGGGCTATACTTCTCCTTACAAGATCTAGTGAGATGTTTAAGTTCTGACTGAACAGCAAATTCCCAGACACCAAGTCTTGAAGAGATTTATAGGTTAATCAGCATTTTAAACTATACAGAGAAACCAACTATCAACCAATACAGAGCCCACAGAATCCATTATGTAGTACTTACTCCCAACACCAAGAGCCAATAAATATACAGGTTGTCATATTCTGGATCTGTCATAGTTCCCAAGTAGCCTTTAAAAACAACCCCGGGTAAACAACCCCGGGTAAAGTGCATTGCAATAAACCAACCAGGAGGTAATGATGATGAGAATTACTACTGTAGCGCTGTCCTCCTAGTCCATAAAATGTTGTAATTGGAGCATCAGCTAGAGCCAGGCAAATATTCTCCTTTTATACATGGCCTCCACTTGCAGTTCAAGTAGGAGCCATCATTTCTAGAAGGATCTCCAAGTCAGGTGCTTCCTGCTTCATGGGTGGCTTGTCCATTCAGAGGTAACACTAGTATTAGCAAAGACACCCAACATACTAATAACAACTCTATCTTATTCTCCCATCAAGACTGCTATCTTCTATAGCTGACTAGTTAAGAATTAACCCTGTCTCCCCCTCCTGCCATGCATCTATTCCCTCCTTCTCCATCTCCTGACAATGATTTTATTTTTGTTTGTATTGTCATTTTATTGGGTTGGAATATTTATATTTGATTAATCTAATATTTTTATGCTGTAAGCCACCCAGAGCCACTTCGCCATGAGATGGTTGGCAAACATTTTTAATAAAGAAGTAATCAAGATTGCTGTCAGCTTTGAAAGCCATATTAACACCAGAAACTTCCACACTGCCACATTCCTGAGCTTGGGAAATTGGGAGGGGGGATTTTTAGAGTGTTAGTAGTTAGACATAATAGCATTCTTCTATTCAGTCAAGGTCATGTTATTCTTGCACCTGAAGGAGGACTGGTTGAAGGGATGTCTCTTGTTGGGACAGATGGTGATTGGGCCATGTGATTGACTGATGGGTGCAGGGGTTGGATTTTGGATTTTGATTTACTGAGGGAAAACCCGGAACTCTCAGATTCAGGTTTTCCCAGATTTGCCAGTATGACTTTTCCAATAAAAAGCAACTTTGAGAAAATGTGTCTCAGAGTTGCTGGTTGGGATCTGTTTTTTCTGGAATGCTGACAATTGCTATAAGTTCCAAAACCCAAAATAGGATATTGATAATATCTCTCCTCCAGCCAGGAGTGATTATCTAAAGTTGGGTATCATCAGCATACCAATGATACTTTCCCCCAAAGATGAGCTCTCCCAAGAATTTCATACAGATGTTAAAGAATAGGGACAGGGATCCCTATTCCCCTGTCCGCAATCCACTACTGGGCCTTGAGCCATTCAGAATCGAATTGTGGAAGTGGGAGGCGAGTGCACAAGTGTATATCCCCACTTGTGTGAGCAGGGGTGAGCATGTGTGCGCATGTTCCATTTCCATGAGCAGTGTGTGCGTATGCCCATCTAGCTGTGCAAATGGAACTGGATGTGTGCACTTGCCTGTTGCAAGGTGGAAAAGTTGGGGAACTCAGCCGTATAGCACTCAACATAGCAGAAGCCATTGAGTCAACCTTTCATTCTCCACCATCACAGGCTAAAACCGTTCACTGATGGAGGTAGCCCACTGCCAAACAATGTTTCTAATCTCCAGCAGATGTCCCTGTAAGATACCAATGTTGATAATACTAAAAAATTACTTCTTTATTTATTTTATCTATTTCCTACCTTTATAATTTTTATAAAAAAACTCAAGGCAACAA